AGACCCCTCTGGCTGGCTGGGCGTAGTCTGTAGGCCCCTCTGGCTGGCTGGGCATAGTCTGTAGGCCCTTCTGGCTGGCTGGGCGTAGTCTGTAGACCCCTCTGGCTGCCTAGGTGTAGTGTATAGGCCCCTCTGGCTGGCTGGGCGTAGTCTGTAGGCCCTCTGGCTGGTCTTCTCATCCCCTTGTGAGGCTTCTCTGCACCTGCGTCTTAACTCATGCTTTTCCTTACCACTGCCTGCAGCTCTTCCCTCTCCACTGATCTCTGCCTATTCATTAACACTATGGTCCCCAAGCCCTGGTCATGGGCCAGTTCCAGTCTGCAGCCTGTTAGGAACTGGGCTGCACAGCCAGAGGTGGGCTGCAGAGCAAGCGAAGCTTCATCTGACTTTACAGCTGCTCCCTGTCACTCGCATCGCCGCCCCAGCTCCACCTCCTGTCAGAAGGGGGGACATGAGATTCTCAGAGGAGTGTGAACCCTGCTGTAAACTGTGTACGTGAGGGATCCAGGCTGTGCATTCCTTATGAGACTCTCAGGCCCAGTGGTCTGAGGGGGAGCTGAGGTGGTGACCCTGGTGCTGGGGAGCAGCTGCAAATACCGATTGTCATCAGCAGAGAGGTCTGCCTGTGCAGAGACCATAATCAATCAATCGCTTGTAGATTCATATCAAAACCATCCCCCACCCCCACCCCGGTCCATGGAAAGATTGCCTTCCATGAAACTGGTTCCTGGTGCCAAAAAGGTTGGGGACCACTGCTCTCAGGTGCATGCTCCATGAAGTTTCCCTCACTCCTGCTCCTCTGAAACACCAGCAGCATCTGGCTGTGCTTCTCTCCCACAGCTGTTGCAAAGTGTCTCATATTATGGAATTATTTGTGCACTTCTCTTTCTCCCCACAAGCAGCAACTGTGCTTTGCAATTCTCGTTTGCCCTTACAGCATCAAGCTCAGTATCTTGTTCATGACACTTGATCAAAATAACTGAATAACTGGGCTGGGTGCAGTGGCTGGCACCTGTACTCCCAGCACTTTGGGAGGCCCAGGCAGGAGGATCACTTGAGGCCAGGAATTAGCAACACAGTGAGACCCCATCTGTACTCAAATTTAAAAGTTAGCCAAGCATGGTGGCACATGCCTATAGTCTCAGCTACTTGGGAGGATGAAATAAGAGGATTGCTGGAGCCCAGAAGTTCAAGGGTGCAGTGAGCTATGATCACACCACCGTGTTCCAGCCTGGGTGACAGAGTGAAACCCCCATCTCTTAAAATAAAAATGAAGTACAGAAGCCCATAGGAAGTGCATAGCCTTGGACCTGAGCAGGGGATGATCACGGAGTGAGCATGTGTGATTACGAGCAGACAGGTGCGTTTGTTCTGTGTACCATGAATGTCTCCTGGTTGGCTACCCTGCCCCCTGTGGTCAGTGAGTGCACCGCCCTGTGCAGTTTTTCATATCGTGTGTAACTCTGTGATAAACATCTTGGACTGGAGCCTTGGCGTCTCTGTTTGTTTCCTTTGGACCGATGCTCAGGGAAGGCCTCCTCAAATGTTTGACGGCTTGAAAGGCTTTTGCTGTTTTGCCTAATAATCCCCAGGAGCTTGTGTCCCTGACACAGTCCAGGGCAGGTCTGGGAGCACCTTCTCCCCACACTGAGGCCCCCATCTCATCTTAACCTGTGAAATGTGATTTCACCTTATATTTTTGATTTCATTTTGAATAGTCATTTAAAAAATTGGAAAATAGAGAAAAACATAAAGAATAGTGTTAAAAATGCAGTGACTTTATCCAGAAAATAATTGTTAACACGTTAGTATGTTTCATTTCTGTTCTGTTGTGAATGTATCTGTCAGCGTGTACACATGAATGTGTGTGTACACATGTAACTATACACACAAGAAGGATTTGGGTTGAACAACAAGCATTTGATGCTTTTAGGTAAAATATTATAGATCAGAGGCAATTTCATTGAGTCAAACTAATGTTTATGTCATCAGGATCAAATTGTCTGTAGTTTTATCCCGATGTTTCCTCATATAATAATTTATAAAAACATTTTTTATATCTGTAGATATCATTGACTACGAGATTTCTGATGACTGAATCTCATTCTATCATTGGAGTTTGTGATCGTATGTTTAATCAAATCAGTAACATTGGACAATTAGGGAATTTCCAATTTTGTATTACTGGGAATTTGGGGAAGTTTGTAATATTATTAAAAATAGTGCGATGAACATCCTTGTGTATAACTCTTTGGCATGTCTCTGAGTATTTCTAGAAACAGAATGACAGGATGAAGGTCAGGAATGTAGCCTCCAGAAAGGGTGTGCTCTTACCACTAGTGGACATTTTTCTTAAAAACACACCAACAAACAACTTACTCAATTTGGTAAGACCACATATTTTGGTAGTCCAAAATATTTTCTCATTGTTTTAATTTTAATTCAGCTAATC